CCTCTGCATAGTTGAAAAAATGCTTGAAAAAGTCCATATCCAAAATCAGTTGAGTTTCTGAGTCAGCTAGGAATTGAGTAAATAGCGAGCCCATAATCTGAAAATCTTTTTAATACATAGAAAACAACCTAGCCCAATTAAGAACCCACCTCCTCATCATCTTCGTCATACTCGTCCTCTTCGCTGAACAGTGTGGGTCTCTGAGTAATTTGTTCTCGGTTATGGCCATTGATTGGCTTTGATGATTTCCCAGTTGAGTTGATATCTGAATTTCCAGAGAGTATCACCTTGCTCAATGGCGTTGGAACGTGCTCACCAGAAATGGCAGGAGGCAGGGCGATAACAAGTAGAATAAGACGGAAAGTTCGGCACTGCATCTTCTTTACTGTGCGTTATCATCGCGACAAGAGGCGACGACTGGCCCCTCCGAATAAACATAGTTGCGCCGTCAATCAAACTCTCAAGCAGTACTCTTAGGTGGGTTGGATAAATCAGAGAGCGAAATTATTGTATTCTAGCCTATAAAGTTCTATTGGAAAAACGTTTTGAAATCCGGGATTTGCTGCAAGAGGTATAGCACTACTAACAAAAAATGTTGCCAAAATCCTAGATTTTCTTCCCGACGTTCAATGTTCATATCGGACAATTTCTTAGTGAAAAGTCTAGCAACGACAATGACTCAGCACTAACAAGTTCCATTATTTGCCGCGGTAGAAGCAAATGGACGCCACAACCAGTAACTCAAAAGGTCATAAACTGATGTGATTCATCTTCCTACTACTCAAATAATTTCAGGAATATAACGAATCCACAAATGAAAAGACAATCATGTATTTTTGTATTGCGTCTATTTTACAACTGAGTAACATCCGGTAGATTTTACGAGGAAGGGGCATTTTTTGCTTACCAACATGTTTTGTGCAGTGGGTGCAATTAGTTGGTGGCGACGATCAGAGCCAAGGATACAGATGCACTCCAGCCAATTCAGCAGAGAGCTTTGCAT